TTACAAATGACACTCTCTTAAGATACCAGCTGGCCCCTTTGCTTCCTGCTTGCTTAATGTGACTTGTCTTTCCACCACTGCCTTTCCCATTCCCAGTCAGATGGCACTGGGCATTTTAATACTTTTGACAGCTAGAGGGGTACAGGAATGCATCTGTCTGTGGCAGCAGCACTGTGTGCTAAGGGGCAAAGGGCTCCTGGCCCTGGGGGCAGAGCAGACCTTCACCCAAATGTCTCTGCTCTGTAGCCACATCTCTTCATCTCTTCATACAAACGGGCTTCTCTAGCTGCCTTGCAGGGCTTGTGCAGCACTTACCAGGGACAGGAGGGCAGAAAGCGGAGAGAACAAGGAGAAACCCGCAGTGCTCACAGCTTGTTCTGCACCAGGCGGGTGAAGGAAGAAATTTCTCTGCCTTGAAGAAGTGAACAGTGATTAGCGTGAGACCAAAAAATGAATTCTGTTCCATTCCTGCTTGCTCTGTGTTTTTTGTTGTTGTTCTTAGCATCCAATTTTGAAAATCCAGTCTGCAGCTCCAGAAACGTTCAAAGCTCTCTGCTTTCTGCGAGATTGATGGATGCTTGCTAGGAAGGAGCAGACACAGCCCTGCATTTCCACCTTGCAGAGCATGAACGTCTGTTCAAGAAATTTTACTGCTGTAGCAGTAATTGTGGCAGTAACTATACTGGTACAGGAACTGGCAGAAAGGTTGGATCGATATCCTGCCAGAGAAAGAATTGCTGTATAGGAGACTTGTTAAACAATCATGAACCATCCACCATAAGTTCTTTTAAGGGCAATAAATTTGCTGCCTTGAAGTATTTGCTGCTCAGGGTACAGGCTCAAATGATACTGGGTGTTTCAGATTCTCTTACTACTTTCAGATTCTCTTACTACTTTTTTGATGTGGGCCCATGTAAATCCTGAGTCTAATTTGCACAGGCAGCTGTGGCAGGACCATTGGCCCACTTGCCAGGGCTGTTTGTTCAGGTCTACTGCAAAAAAGCAGTGGGTAGATGCTGGAGAATTATTTCTGCCAGATTTAAAAGACGGCTGAACTCAGAAAGCTTGAAGGTAAAGTTCCATGTAATTGTTGCAAATATTGATTCAGTCTCGTGGCTGCTACTAAACCTCTCTGGCACGAGCACTGAGAATTACACTGAAACCAGACCACTGTTTGCATTGCACAGGAGTCTGTCCTGAGCAAAAACCAGAGACTTTTGAAGGTGAGAAGTCAGGAGGTGAAGTTTTACCGCAGCAGAGACCTCTCTGCATCAGGTTTTTGTGCATTTTGATAAAGGAAAAACGTTCCTTGCCGGCAGCTATCTGTGTAGGTATGTCTCTCGAATCCTCCTCTGCAACTCGACAGCACCACTTGTCAACAGTTCTTCAGCTGAAATAATGCATGACCGTCGTGCATCGATCTGCTGGCTCGGCCAGGGTAAGCCATAAGCAGCATGTTAAATTTCCATCATTAAAGTCTCAGATGCAATTTACTTCTTCTTGATCTAATGTAGGCAGCCTTGTAAAGCCTCCGTCAATGAAAACTGGCTACTTGCGCTCAGAATAAGCAAAAGGGTAACAACTTATTTAACGCGCTCTCAATCTGTCTGCTCAAAGGCCTTTTCTTTGGGTATTTAGTGCGGATAAAAGGCTCTGGGATAACCAAACAAATTGTTGGTACTTATCCAAATTGAATGAAATCTGAGAAACTCTCCCCTCTTTTCTTGTGGGTAAATCCTGGCCATGCTGCAATGAAAGGCAAAATTCCTGTCGGTTCAATTGGGCTTTCGTCATTCAATCCCCGTGTTCCCGACACTGACTCTGTGGCCTTTTTCTCATGAAGAATTGTTCAGGACACGGAGGGGCCCCGGCACCAAGTGTGCAGAGTGAGCAGGGGCAGGGGAAGGGGGGCTGAGGCAGGATGCTCAGCTGCCCAGCTACCCTGCGTAGTGCCTCAGCAAGTAGTCAGGTTTTTTGGGGAAACTGCTGGGCCCAAATGAAGATATTCACAGGCTGTAAACTGTCCGGGCTGGCGAAATGCTCCCCAGGAGCAGGTCACTGCTGTGTGCTGTCGTGTTGCCTCTTCCCATGGAGCGCTGGCACCTCGCTCTCTGCGTAGGGCAGTAGAAACAAACTCCACGTGTTCTGCAGATGCACCTTCCTTTCACATGTAAACTCTGGTGCTCCTCACTGAATTAAATGAAACAGCCTAAAATAATAATCTTGTATACAGTGGTGTACCGCTTTATACCTTCAAAGCATTTCATGAGCGGTAATTATTGATTCATTAAAATAACACGCACATCCCTTGTTCTTCTGCACAGGGCAATGTGTGAAAGCGGTATTCACCTTGAATATTAATGCGTGAATCATTTGAACAGTGTACAGCTTCAGTTCAGATAAACAATTAAATGCAATCCACGTCTTGTTAGAATAAATGAAATACTTAGTGGGGAGAAAAAAAAGCCATCATTTCCAGTCAGGGCTAGGAAAAAATCAGAAGGTACAGGAATAGGATGAAAAAAAAATGTTTTTAGCATCCATCTCCATTGTGTGTGCAGAGAGGTGTGGAAGACAAACCTCTTCCTGAGGCTGCCTGATGCTGCCAGTGGCCAGGCAGACTGAAAGCAGCACAGGGTTGCCTTTTCAAAACAATATTACCATAGGTCATCCTACCTTCACTACTTGCAGAGAAATACAGAGTAAAGGCACTCGGTCAAACTTCAGAGGAGTCTGAAATTAATCCTCTTGCCAGATTTTTATGAGGACCTGTCACAAGTGATGCTGGTGTTGCAGTAGAGCCTGAAGGACTCCAAAAGCCATGCAGTTGCCATTGTCACAGGACAGGCAAAAGTGATGTCCTCCCCAGCAAGACCTGCAGTTGGGCTTTACACCATGGGGAAGCAGTCAGGGGTGCCAGAGAGAAAGAGCAGGGAGAAATGAAATCACACTTCTTGGGTGCACAGTGCTTGCTATGGGGAGAGTTTCCCTCACCTTGTTCCCTCACCAATGTCCTGCATCCATCAGTGCCTCCGGTACTGCTGGGGTCTGACCAGCAGCATCCCCAGCATGGTTATTCCAGCTGCACCATTATAAGACAGCCAGAGGACAGCTACCCTGAACTGGCTCCCATGGGTGAGAAGCATGAGAGATATCCAGGAGAAACTCAACTTGGGGAGATTTTAGGGCATCCTGAGAGAACCTGGAGCTAAAGAGGTCCAGGGTAACCCCAGAAACCATGGAGTGAACCAGAAGAGGAAAATCTATCTCTGAACTGTGAGAAAATCAAGGGCATCCTGCTTGGAATCTCTTTATTTGATGTCCTCCCTTGACACACAGTTTAGGGGCACTTTGGGCATTTTCAGAGAAGCAGAATACGGCCTGGGGGCCCAACTCCTGCATTTCCAAGAAGCCCAGCCCCAGGCTTTTATCTGAGCAGAGCAGCTTGGAGCATCACAATTTTCAAGAGTCCTACAAAAAAATTCAGTCAGAAGATAAAAAGCTCTGCTTTAATATAAAGGCACATACAGTAACGAGCTGTGCTGGGAAAGCTTGGGAGCGGACTTAGAGCTCGGTGGATGGGATTAGCAGGGGCTGCAATTGCTTTTACAGCCTGGCTTCTCATTAACCCTGTGGTGTGCCCAGGCCCACAGCTCCTCAGCAGCTCTGCAGCAGCACTGCAGGACTGGAGATGGCTTTTAAGATGGTGAGTGAGCCCATGAAAACTTATTTCTTATCAGAGTGCAAATGCAGGGCAAATCAGCTGGCAGTTTTCCCAAGGTGAAGTATTTGCCCAGCTGTCTGGCCAAAATCTTTCTTATCCAAACAAGGTTGTGAAGTGTCTTCCACTAAAAATGTAAATGCCTGAAGGCCTAGGTAAAGAATGTGTACACACAGAGAGATTTGTCCAACAATCACTTTTTTTCCAGAGACAATTAAACTTACAAAGATTTATTTATCTTGTTTTCTTTCATTGTCCCTAGCATACAGCTGTGCACAGCATTTTAAATTTCCTTTGTTTGAAAGCCTCTACTATAGTTATTAAAAATAATTCATTAATTGGATGCTGTTGCTTTTCTGGGTCTTCAGCATCCTGTGTAAATGCTCCCCACCTGTTGGGATGTGCACCTGGACATCTGCATTCCCATCTGTGGGCTGCATTGTCTCAGAAACTGCCTCCCTGCATCTTCACAAGAGGATGTGCAGCAGCACCACGAGCAGTCGTGGTGTATTGACAATGGGCTGGGTGTTTTCCTGACACAGAACAAACAGCTTGGGGTAGACATCATTCAGGAGTTAGGACTTAGCAAATATTTGTACAGGCAAGAAACCTTCACAAATGAGAGTGGTTTCATGATATTCAGAGCAAATGCTGAAGGAAGACCATGTCTTTATATCACTCATATTTCATTCATTTCTTCTTCTCAGAGAAGAATAAGATGAAATACAGAAATTGTCTGATTCTGGTATTTCTGAATCAAAACTACTCCATCTCTGCCCTTAGATACATGGCATCCAACATTTCCTGAAGGTGCATGAGATCCAGCTGGGGCACTTCATCACATCCTCAGGATTTACTGTGCATGAAGATTCCCAGGTTCTCTGGACAGATATCAGACAAATAAATTTCAACTCTGTCTCCAGCCCACTAATTCCAATAAGACAAAATTTTTACTTGAAAAAAGCATAACCAGAAACTTAATTTTTACAAGCTTTTGAGGAGTATCCATAAAGGAAAGAAATAATCACTTTCTTCCAATTCCTGCTGAAATTTCTCTCCTTGCAAATCTCACCCCTGTTTCCCCCCCACACCTGATATTGTAAGTTCCTTTGTTTGATATTTGGCTTGAGTAGGGCTAATGTAACCAACCTGCTCCAATAAACATTTACAAACTGATCTCAAGTGTTGTCCCCAGCCCTCCTCAATTAAGGAGGGAGGAAACCAACTCCCACAGCAGTGCTTTTAAGGACCAGTAAGGGCACCTGTAATCACCTAAGAGCTCTGATCCATGAAGTACTAGCAGGAGGGGAGACTGCTAGGGCAGAAGCTAGGAGGACTGCAGTGTTTTGGCTCTGGTGAGTTACTCTCATTTATTTTTGAAAGCTTTTCCAGCAAATGGTTCTAGCTACGTGCTTTTCTCTCTTGATATCAGTTGAGCTACATACCATCTTTCTGCATTTGTCTTATGCCTGTGCTGAGAAAAGGAAAAATGGTGAAAGAAGGATTTTCTTGAGCCTAGGGCAGTATCTGCTGGGGGCTGATTTGGAGACAGCAGTTGCTGCCACATCGCTGAGAACTGATAAGCTGTTACTGGGGGGAACACCAACCTTGCTGGGGGGACCTGCCCTGCAGCAGGACATCTCACCAGGATGCATGTGTGTCTTGTGTGCTGCTGGTTTTGGGCAGGTTATTGTCAGCACTAGAAATAAGAAGTGGATTTTGTTAATATATAGAGGTTTAAGCTGCAACATCTCCAGAAAAGAGGCAGATGGCTGCTGCATCCACCACTGAGTATGCTCTGAGTGAAATCTCTAAATGTATGGACTTAAATTGGGTTAGTACCTTGTACTCAGTCTTGGGTCCCCTGTGGCCTTACACCCTGTATGTTAGCTAGGCTCCTCTTGTGTGAGGTGTATGCACGTGGTCAAAAAAAGACCTCTGCATACTGTGAAAGGGGAAAAAAGTGTACAGCTCTGCCTAGAACTTACTACAGGTACTGGTGTTGTAACAACAGCATGGTGTTGGGCCTGAAACCTCTGCCCTCTACTGAAGTAACAAGGTGGAGATTTGGACAGCTTAATTTTCCTGTCTCAAAGGGGACAGGGGAGTGGGTCATGGATTACACCAATGCTAGAGAGCATTAAAAGACTGCCACATTACGAGCCTTATCCCAATTTCCAAATTATTTTATTTCTTAAATATACTCGGCTATGTTTTGATATCTTCCTTGGAAGGTAGCCTTCCTCCTGTAAAGAACGAAAGCAGTGCTTAATGTGTGCCCTAATGAAATTGCTCAGTCAATTTCTCTGGCTATTGCTTTCTGGTAACCCATTGGTCACAGTTAGGGTGAAATCCGTGTTTCACTCTACTCCTGTTGTCACCAGTAACAAGCCATAGAAGCTGCATTAACAGAGCAAATGACGACCAGCTGCTAGATGTAAGGCCTTGGAAGGGGCAGGTGATGTGGGTGTGCTGCCTGTAAGTGTTAACCCTTGGGGAGCTGTGCTGGTGTGCTCGCTCTGTTATGTGAGATAGCAGCCCAGAGTGCTTGCAGAGAATGGATCTCTCTGTCCTGGGGACCCAGAGCCTGAGATGGACAACAGGTTGCAGGATTTTTCTGCTTCCCTGCTTGTCATGCCCTCAGGGTAGATGCCTCATCAAGCTGTTCAGACTGTTACCGGATTTTTTTCTTGTGGCAATGATGATTCAGGACCTGGTGTCAGGGCCATGCTTTTCCAATACTCTCCATGTGCCATGGTTCTATGGAGAAATGAGGTCAGGCCTCATGTCCTCATTAGAAACTTGGGGTTATAAGGCACAAAAACACCTTTTTCTACTCCCTTTTTGTCTTTTCTGCCTTCCTTACACTGAACCCTACACGCCTGCAGAACTTCTACTACATTTTCTTCAGGGGGAGAAAGCTTTTTTAGGTTTCTTTATGGGAACCCTCATAGCTTTTATAATGTGTCAGGAATAATTAAGAAAAATGAGAATACGTGCCTCACCACAGCAATGAATCAGGGCAATGTGAAGTACCTAATTTGAGGGGAAAAACAAAGACCTTTGCCAAAGTTATTTATATGTTCCTCAGCATCAATATTTCTTTCCTGCTAAGAGGTTGTGCTTCCCTGAGGACAGAGGCAAGAGGAGATGGCTCTCCTGGGGCGGGCTCACAAATAATGGGCTGGCTGGCAGCTTTTTTGGTGGTTCTGGGTATTGCTTGTGATGGAGGAGGTAGTGCGTGTTCTGTCAAATCTAGTCTTGACCTGCTTATATACTGGGTGGCTCCTGCCTGTTCCCAAAGAATGAGCTTTCAGCCCTTAGAGGGGTGATCCCAGCAGACCAGAGACCAGCTTCTGTGTGGTGTTTGCCCCAAATGGATGGTATGTAATGGTGTCAAATTAATTCCCTGTTAAAGTGGCCCCTGCTACTCATCCTGAAAATAAGCCCAGATGAATAAGGGTGCAGTGAAAGCTTCTGGGCATCTTGTAAAGGGGGGGGGACTTCTGTATCCAGCTTAACCTTTGTGTTTGCTTAAGGATGTTAACAAGAGCTCCTTGAGGGATGCTCTAGATTCCAGACTGACCATCTGGTTGAATCCCAGCCCACATTTCAGACCTGTAACAAGATGCCAGGAGCTGCCCTGTGTTGCTACTGCACATGGAGCTGGTTGGATCAGAGCTAGACCTGGTTGTCCTCGTAGCACCTTCCTAGGCTGCTTCTGTCACATCCCAGTGGCTGTTATAAATGTGCTAGCTGCAATCACTCAGATGAGCATTTCATTATAACCTGCACAGCTCTGCTCAGCAAATTATTTCTAATGAGTCCAGAGCAATAAATAACACCTGCCTCTGCTCAGTGGAGCACCCTGTTAGGCTGCTGTGCAGTGCCTCTGCTTCCCCTAGAGCAGGAGAATCCTGGACCTGCTGCTCTGCAGAAGTGCTGCCCTCAGCAGCTTTAACTTGGGTTTGTAGGGATCCTGACAATGTGAGGCAGGGGTTGTTCTGTTCCTCCTCTGCAGGCTCTCAGCTGGCCTGCTTTGTACCGGGAGGATAGGAAAGGAGGTATAAAACATCAGCCCTTCTGCTAACTTAGGCATTTTCTCCTCCCTAAAGGGATAAGTTTGGGGAGTATAAATTCATGTTTCAGTAGTTTTTTTAAGCACAGAGTGATGTGTGCTTTACACAAAGTGTAATGCAAAGGGAAAGGGCAGCAAGAGGATTTATCTGTGTGTGCAAGATGGATTTGACAATAGAAAGTATTGACAAAGATTTTATCTGAGCAACTATCTGTGCCTTGTACAAGCAGATCCATCCATCTCTGCAGAACCAGGAGGCTAAGTTTGTGTTGTCTGAGGGAACCTAAATCACTAAGACAGCAAAAAGAGGGAGGCAGAGACAGTTCATGCAATTCTGAACAGGCTTTTTGCTACTCAGGTGTGGTCTAAGGAGATTTTGAAAGCGTTGTGTGTGTTGAGTATAAAAGGATGTGCAGCAAAAGGTGAAAAACTAGATCTGCTATTTTCTGGGAGGGGAAATGTGACTTCAAGCTTTTAAGTAGAGGGTGAGAAAAGAGCAGGGTGAGGCTAGGGAGCTGGAATAGATCTGAATAACTACAACACTGTAGTTGTCATTACCATGTGGGGCAGCTCTTCTGGAGATCTGGCCACTTGTAGGGCCCTGGTCCTGGTAGGGGCCACCTTTGTAGCAGAGGAACAAAGAGCAAAGAAGCTTCTGCCTTGCACTTATACAGGGAAGGAATTTCCTGATGCCAGGAAACAATCTTTTAATGCATTGATGAAGTGGCAATGTGGGTATGCATTTCTGTTGCCCAAACAGGAAAAATAAGAAGAGAGGCTTAGGGTGTGATTTAACATTGCATCCAACCAGGGTCATGCTGCTGCACATCACCTTCCCCTTCCAAATCCCACCTTCACCCTCCCCCTGCTTTCCTTTCACCTACTCAGGGCAAATTAGGTCAAGAAACTGATCTCCTGGAAGGGTGCTCTTTGTTTCTCCCCCCTCCTGTCAGATCAGGTCACTGAACTGCCTTGTTCAGGCTCAGCAGCTGAATGCCCTGCAGTGCTGAGGGGCTCTGATGGTGCAGGAAGCTCAGTCTTGCCCTTCTGCCCTCCTGCAAGGTGAGGTAGATCTGAGGTAGATGCTCGTCTTCCAAGGCAAGGAGCAGGTTAATGGGAGTCGTGTGAGTTCAGGGCATAATATGTGTTATGTTCTTATTGCTCCAGGCTTTTACTACTTGCCTTTTTCCACCTGAGGAATCAACCCCAAATATTGTGTTTATCCCTATGTAGCTTTGCCAGCAGTGATGCATCTCCTCAGGAGGCTTATTTTACAGTACAAATTCCTAACAGGAGAAAATGAAAAGCCACAAAGGGACCAAAGGAGGGTGGGTTCAGGAACTCCCCAAGCCGGGGGGTGGAAGAAGCTGTCAGGCTTCTGGAGTGTGGTGGAGAGAGGAAAGCAGGACACTGGCTGCAAAACTATCCCTGGCCGCAAGAGGGTGGCCTAAGGAGGCACTTATTCCAAAAGGCCCTGGATTTTGGAAGTAGAAAGAGCTCCACCAGTCTCCGTGACTGTGCATTTCCTAACTCCAGCCAGAAACACGAGCGTTGGAAAATACGAAAGGCTGATTTAGCTGTTGTCTTCCTGCTGTGGTTTGCAGATCAAGGGATTTTTAGATGGCTTATTTGGACAAGTTTTGCATAAGCTTTCAAACTTTCTGGGTGCTTATCAGCATGATGTTAGCTCCAGCAGGAATGAAGGATGCTCAAAATCCGAAATAGTCAGTGAATTGTTCATAATCTCCAGCTGAGCAACAGTGCCTAAGCAGCTCTGTTCGTGATCTGTAGCACTGCAGAAAGTGGGATGCTGTTCTGCTTCCATATCTGAAAAGTGAAACAAACATAAACAAGTCCCCTTCATTGGGGAGAAAAAAAGAAGGAATGCAAGCTTCCTGAAATGCTTTTTCCTGTGCCTTTATTTTGTGAATTCTGTTACCTTAGCTTTTGGATCTCATCAGGGAGCCTGTCTGCACATGGCAAAAACCACAAGATTTTTCATATATTTAGCTGGTACAAGCATAACTGCAGTTAGAGATGATTTCATTTTGTATTGAATCAACTGCTGGAAAAAATTTTTGATGGGTGCTAAGATAACATATGTCATTTGCATCATTATCATGGGCTTTGTTACTTGGGAGCTGCAAAGAACATCCTATTGTCCCAAGGCTTTGTTAGAGGTTGGTCTGAGAGTAGAAATAAGTGTGTATTTTTGTATTGAACTTGTACTTTTTAGTGCACTTCTATTCTATATTCCTTTCTTATGAAGAACAGCTA